TTTAAATATCATACTGGGCGATAACATTTGGTGAGAATAATTTGGAAAGTGATACAACGCTTAAGTGTTTCGACGCAAAATGCCGTTTGGAGCAAATATCCCATTCGGGATTGCGTATAATATGGTGCTGGAGACATCCCTTATTAATGACAATAATATATTTTAATTTATAGAAGTTAGATATACAATCAAAAAATAAAATAAAATCATTATTAAGAAATACGTACATTGGCTTTAATTGCTGAATTTACTAAGCAATTATAAATCTATTAAATTCGAAAATAAATTACTGAACCGAATGGCAATACCCTGAGAACTGCTAATGCAAGATACGCATGAAAGAGAAACAACTTATGTGTCGAGCAGTAGCTACACTAGTTCACGGGAGTGGATGTTATGTTCATGATAACGCAACATAATCTAATGATTTAGAAAGTCTGGAGACTCCTCTAAGGAACTTTCTAATACCAAGATAGATATTAGTTCACATTTCCAATTTTTATGAACGGAAAGCGCAGCATCTAAAAAATTTCCATAATTAGAATGAATTTAAAATAAAATCTCAATACATTTTACTTTAGCGAAATCAAGTAAGGAAATGAAATATAGTTCTGTCTTTGATTTATATTTACACAAAAGAGACAATAACGTAATATGTTGATTCTTCCGTTTCTAAAAGTAAAAAATAAAGAAAGGGAGAAGAAAAGAAGACACCAAGTCAGGAATTACTTTGCAATGATTTTTAAACTGCCAAAAGCAAGTATTTACAGTGGTTTAAAGGATCTTTGATTTTGATGACATTTGCTGTTTAGAAATGAATGTTAGTTGCTTTGAAAGATAAATGTTTGCAAATGTCTTAAGAGTGTGTAATACTAAAATGCTTTCATGTCAACACAGATATTACTATGTATTTGCCTGATCCAAACCGAAAATAAAATTCTGAGGTAGAAATAAAGTAAACAATAAATATTAGTAAAACTAGTTACGTTGTAAAAAATTACTCATTTGAAATTATTGTGAGTCTTCAAACTGAAAGAATAATTGTTTTAATCCTTTTTTCGCTCGAAAATAGTAAATAATTTTTATACAATCTTTTTTAAACAGTTTATTAGTTAAAACTTTTAGTTTCTGTAGTATTCATTCCTCATAATTTTTCTAAACGAGCCCCGTTTTTTGCTTTGTTTATAATTTAGACTGGTATGTTCCATTTCCTTATTTTCAAAGCACATTTCTCTTTTATTTTCCTAGAATTTTGTGAAAGAGAATTATTATATTCTGGACAGTTTTGTTGAGTAATCTTAATATAATATGACGGTAAGGTAAAGATACTGTAATGCATCGATTCCAAGTTTAATCAATCTCATGCATTAGTGAGTTACTGTATCTTTTCTGTTCTTTGGATTTTCCCGACTTAAAAGGAGTCTGAAGAAAGACACAAGAACCAGTCGACCAAATCCAGTTGGCGATGAATTGTCATCCACCATATTTTATTTAAGAGGTGTAGTCACAGTAGAGATTTTAGAAGCCAAGAAACTTGAAAAATGAATTATGCCCTCGATTTTCTACCCCTAGCTTGATATGCCAACCACTTATACTAGGTTAACATCCTCAAGTCAATGCCATAAGTCCGTACAATATATTTCTAAAATCACTAGTTTATCACTGAATGTTGAGGTTCAAAGCTGTCAGAAACCTCATCTTCAAGAGCTACAGATATTGTGCAATGATCGCCACGTAAATTGGCAGTTTAATGAACCCGAACACTTACGGAATTTCAAACCTTTATTCCAAAACATAATGGGAATTTAAAAACAGCTTGCAAAGAAAGGTAATTGGAATTGATTGCAAGAAAATACTGAACAGGCTCTGAAAATAATCCACTCTGATCATATCCCACTGACAGCAACTGCCCATTCAGGATTTCATATTTCTGTAAGGCACAAACTGAACTTTTAGGAACAATACTTTCGGGAACACAAAAAATCGAAAACCTTATTAAGCTGATATCTTGATAAATAATAAATTTCAGATTGGAAATTTAATAGTAAAACAACTGGACAGTATATTCCAACAACTAGAATCCCGGCCCCTAAACACCCGAAAGCTGGATGGACTCATCAAAAACTTCATCTTATTGACTCCAAGAACATTGTCTAGGATGCATTAAAGGGCACGGATAAACGTACTTTAGGGATTTCGCTCATCGGAGACTGACTAGTGAATACTTTAATTCAGCTTCAGTTCGCATCCTGACAAAAATGCCAAATGTGCAACAGAAATACGGGCCAATTTTTCTTAGAATATCTTCTATAAAATATGTCCACAAGCGGCTGTTTAAGTCGCTAAAAACTGGCAATTCGAGCTGGGTTTGATTGCTGGCGAACGGACTACTTGCATCGGAGTTTTCGTAGTCTTTCCTGCGAGTAAGATTTCGTAGTCTTCCCTGCGATTAGACACGAGCCAGTTCTTTTTAGAAAGTGCTCCACTAAGATGTCTCTTCACTTAGGCATATAATCCTGGCATGCTTTGCCATAATCATACAAACAAACCAAAGCAAACCTCTATGAAAGCATTCCTTCTTTTAGGCAGATAGCCTTAGCGTGCTTTGTTGTCGACATCGAATCAAATGTACATATTTTGTGTAGGAGTCGAAGCCAAATCCATCACTCTGAAAGGCGGATTCGCTATCTATAATCACTAAGGAACATAGCTAGAACCTGAAAATATAGTTATAATGAAGCATAGGCGTAATTTGCATGAGTTAAAATGTTAAAATTGTAATGTTTCCAACATTTAAATTTGTAGGTTTCAGTAAAAGGAAGGTCTTATTTAATTTACATATTTTCTGATACTATGTTGAAAGAATTCGCCAGTAACGCTTGCACTATTTACAAAAACCACATGCATAGTTTACCAGCTCCTCTTTTTTATTCCATTACCAAGTAGCAGTAGGTCTCAATTAAATGGCTTTTTGCGCACAAGAAAAGGACACAAATGTCACAAGCAAGCTTTGCATTTACACCAGCGTTCCAATCATGAGTCCTCTGGTTACCGAAACGTAAGATGCTTTTCATGCAATTCCAAACTAATGTAATCAACGCATGGGATCCAGCAAATACTTTTAACGTTAATTCGGGGCGAACGCAACTCAAGCCCGTTTCTCCTCCCAGTTTTAATTCGGAGAATGGACACTTTCTAAACACTGCTATTTAATTAAAAGTCTCCTTCTCCTTCGAATTTAATGATATTCGCCGTCAGGTTTAAAGGCCGTCGTCGCAGACAAGAAAGGAACAGGGCATTCCGGTGAGTTGGGGTTGGTTTTCCCGTTGAAGTGATTCCCCTCTCAAAGGTCAGCCCCTCGGTCTTTTCCCGAAAGGATTCCGGAACAGACTAATGAAATTTAGCGCGAATTTTCTCGCTTTCGCCAAATTAGAAGAGATCCGGTACGACTCTGACTTAACAACGCCTGGTGAAGCTGCAATTAATGCTGAGGTAAAGAGAGATTTTGAAAATTGATTCGCTTGGTTGCAGCGGGAATATTTTATAGAGTATGCAGTACCCTTTTATGAAAATGACTTAGCGACATATTCCTACCAATTTTTATTATTTCTCAAGACATAAGTTAGAAATGCTATATGGAATTCCTAGTGTTCTTTTGCTAATTTTGCTTGCAAAAAATAAATTGAATATTCAATTGGGAAAAAAAGTGTAACTAATTGCATTCATATATATAGCTACATATTAGAAAGCTAACATATCTGCACAGTTAAAAGTGCTTCTTTCTAACAAACTAGTGATTTCCTCAGTAGCAGATATCAAAATATTCTTTCCATTTGAATGGTACAACAATTAAGAAAATGCATATTGTTGTAAAATACCAATGAAAAAAATATATATGTGTGGTATTTTGTGTTTCCACAGCGTTGTGGGCAAACGTAGTTTTTCAATGATTAATGTTAGCCATGATTACAGTCCCCGATGCGATAATATTGCAGGTGGAGAAAGAAGCTGGTAGAGATTAAGATATCGGAAGATTCATATAGAAAATTTTAGACCTATCTTTTTTTAACAAATTCACAAAATTTGTTTCAGACATACAAATGTGGTGAAATTCTTATTCCAAAAAAATGTAATAAAATAATTAAGAAAATGATTTTTATTATGCGTCTTATCGTAGATGGCTAGACTTCTGCACTCCAAATGTAATTCTACTCCCACGGGAATGGGAGTTGTTTATATGAATATATCCTTCGAATATTTTAGAAAATAATATTCTAGTGAGAGATTAGATGATTCATTACGACCACGTAATCAAATTATTTCAAATTTTATATTAAGTGCACGATAGACAAGATCTTTAGTTGTACTGCACACCAAATTGTAAAACTCTCCTTACAGCTCACCTAGCACTTCTAAAAATTTATAGTCCTGCAACTTCATAGATGTATATTCCTGGAATCTTATGCAACGCAAAACTCTTATAAGAAACTTTTATATGTACAAAACTGCCGTTGAATAAAGTTACTAGTTTATATTACATTATTGACATACTGCAGGTTACATACGAGAAATAAATCAGTTCTATCCTAAAATTGTACATGCATTTTTTACAAAAGTCATCACATAGAAACGGACTGAACTATTTCCGTCTTATTATTATTGCTCCATTTCCAAGAAATGGTATAATATAATTTAAGAGCATATGCAATAAAAATTAAAATTATAAAATTTAACACGTTATTAAAATCTTTAATTTTAATAATAGAAAGAAGACACCCTTTTTTTAATTTTATTCCCCCACCGCGCAAAAGAATAGCGGCATATAAATTGCAGTTTTATTTTATAAAGAGAAACGAAGCTTAGTACTTAGGACTTTTCGGTTAACCTTATCCGCGAGCGATTGTTTCAGTCTCCAACAGCTCTTGCAAACAATTAACAATTAAGTTAATAAATTATAAATATCATAGTTGTAAAATACTGGACTGTCAGATGGTACTTACCATGAGGTGGGCAATGCCGGGATGTTGTTGCTAATAAAAATTAAAAAAAAATACTTTAGTATTTTATTAAACAGAAACATAAATAATTCACACTTTAAAAATACGTTCCATAATTTAAACAATTACATCATCTTAATACTTATTTAAACAAGTAACAATTATTTAAAATTAAATAGTATTGATTTATCATTTAAACTATTAGCATTAATTTTTAAACAATATGATAATTAATTTAGTTATTTTTTAATTCATTAATTAACAATTAATGAAATTATTAATTTTTTATTTAAACAATTTACATGTTACTTAAATATTTTCCTCATTTATAAAAACAGTGTTTAACTGCTGCAATTAGACACTAGAATATTCAAATGCCTGATCATATCGGATGTGCTTGTATTTTTACACATTTTAAAATCTGACAACATGTCATAAGAGGGAACATAATCTAACAAGCGATGTTAATTAAATTCGTTATCACTTCAGTGCTATTCACAGATCACATTCTTGTATAACCGGAATACAGACATACAAATAAAATACAGCTCTTAATACTGAACCTTCAACAATTTAATATTTATATTGTTCTATATAATGAATGAAGTAATTTCACATATGCAATATATCCAAAAGAATAATGAATAAAATGTGTATACAGTTGGAGTTAGCACCTCATTTTTCTATCATCTACCAGTAATCTTTCTTCTTCCATTCCACTTGTTAATTTTTTTTATTTCTTTTTCTTTATTTTTTAATCGTCTGAAAATTTTTTTACTCGTTTGTATTTAAAGCTCACGGAGCTCTACAATACGGAAATAAAAATTAATTTAATAATAATTAATTTTAGTGTTCTAATATCCATGAAAACCTGCTTACGTCACTTTGTCATTCAGATTAATGAAAGAGATAAAAGATAGTTATGCACCTACAAAACTATGGATAGGAGCTTGACAATGGCATAGCGTAATTGCGTTACGCCACCTTGTTTTATACTGCGTTGTTAGATCTAAAAGTTTTCAATGTTACATCTCATAATGTATATATACTAATGTCCAAATTTATTTTTACATATCTTAAAAAAAAAAAAAAAAAAAAAAAAAAAAGAGATTTTCTGTGAAATATCCATTCGATGTAATCTATTTTTTTGCAGGGAATGTGTTGAAAACAAGCTTATTTAGCATTATCCAATCAAGAGTGATTTAACGGTATCTGATACCAAATCAAGGCGTTACGTCATCTGACAGTGAATCAAGCGTTTTGTGCAAAGTGAATATCTGAGAGAACTTCTACCATGCAGCCTTTGATTTCAGCACATAATCACTCAAAATGATTTGTTATGGTTTTGAAAAATCATTTGGAAGAATTTGTGAATCGACCGTTTGGAAGCAGGGCAGACAATCATGAAAGCAGGTAACAGAAACGGAAGACGGAGACACAAATATTTTGCCGTCATATTTAACAGTTAGACAGGTGTAGTGACTTTGTAATATAGCGAGTCAGAAGTGGAAGTACACCTTTGCTGGCGACTTTGGGAAAGCGTAGATAGGCGCGCCAGCCTCGTGGTACATGGTCACATTCGTTTTTCTGTTTGGTTCAGCCAAATTATTGACGACTCTTTTGAGGTGAGAGTTCCGACGTGTGCCTTTACCCATTGTAGGTCCAAATTATGGTGTCTGAAGCGTCGTGAGTACGTCTGAAGATTCCAGAGGATATGAGAACTGTGAAGGGTGTTTGCGATGGCCTGTAGCACTGGCAGGTTGTCGCTGTAATAACTAGTGTTGTAACCTCTGTTGTTCACTGCATTATTGCCATTGTAATTGAGTGCGCTTCTGCCTGGAAGAGCTATTTTTGAGTAAAAGTTGTGCTTTCAATGTGTGTAATCCTTGTTCATTTGTGTATTGAACAAAGGCATAGCCTATTCCATTATCATGGTCTGAATCATCATTGCAGTTCTGCAACTTTGCATTACAAGTGGTAGACTGCTGTTGTAGATGTATACTTCTATTGCAAACTCCTCTGACAACTGGATGAAAACGCAGCTAATTGCTCGATTCTTTTAAATGCATGAGGGTTTACTCATGTCAAAATCGTAAAAACAACCTTGTATTTAGCGTAGGTATAATGAAACACTCAATCGATTTCGAGGGCAGCTAGAGGTCCCTCCTCATCAGGAGAAAGAAATACATAGAAAGAAGAAAATAAAAGAGAAGGAGTCACAGAAACACCTTCTCCTTTACTTTCTTCTTTCTAAATATTTCTTTCTCCTGATGAGGAGGGACCTCTAGCTGCCCTCGAAATCGATTGAGTGTTTCATTATACCTACGCTAAATACAAGGTTGTTTTTACGATTTTGATTGTCACATTAGCGTGTTTCTCTTCTAGTCTAGTTTACTCATGTGTTGTGGAACTGCGTTTTTTTTCGTAATTGGAGAATAGTCTGTAGTGCAGTTGTAAATTCTGTTTGCATATGCAGTGGAGTGAGTCCTGCTAGGATATTTGCTGACGTTGTACGTTAAGAACATGTAAGGCTGATGGTAAACGATTGTGACGAATTCGAAAGACAAGAGGTAGCGTAAATAAATTTATTTGGGTTTTTTCTCGGCTATATGAAAAAATAAGTAAATAAATGTTCTCACAGTAGGGTGAGGGGAAAAGAAATATAACCAGTTCCAGACGGTGTGAATAAAGTTCACACCGTGTGAATAAAGACGGTGTGAATAAAATCACACCGTTCACAAAGTAATGTTTGGAAATAGTTCGAGATGAGGGTAGGCTCAAGATGAGGCTGTGCTGAATTAATCGAATCTCTAAGCCGGTGGTTGAGGACTGAGCTGGTTCTGAGCGGGGTGCTCATCCGTAAGGTAGCGGCGAAACCGGGCTAACTCGCCGTAATCTAAATGTAAGAAATACCAATATCGTTCTACGCAGAGCGAAAATAAAATTTGCTCGTGGCTGAGTTGGAAAAACCGAGAAAAGGTTTCTCTCTCTACTTACTGCAATTCACTCTCACTCGCTCTCTCTCTCTGGAACTGTGTTCCATGATTTTGTTCAAGTTGTTCTGGGCGTGTTGGAACGAATCCCAGGATCCTCATTTGTCCGTAATTTTTAGAAGCGCCTCTTGATCGGAGAGAGCATTTTGATTAACAACTGGAAATGGTGAAGACAGACTGGGAAAAAGTACGTGAGAACCTTTCGGTTCCAACTGGAGACTCAAACCGGGTGGTCTGAGACACTGAAGCAATAAACTGATGAAAGGGAACGGAACAATGTCTTTCTTCGAACAAACTATAAAAGGAACAAAAACCTGAGATTGTTTTGTGACTGCTGGTCACTTCCTCTTTCCGAGAATTTGCTAAGAAATACTCTGTCCGTGGGAACTTTCGAGATGGTAATTCTTTTTCTCAGAACTTCGTGGTTGTCGACGTTACACGATCTTATGGATGCATAGACGATGCTTTACTTTTCCACTTTGCATTGATATTTACAGACTGCCGCTGCATAAGTTATGATATTTTCAGCAAGTCTTGTGTAGAGGATTTTCTGTAATTGTGTATTCAAGTCCCCACTTGGCACCATGTATTTGCCGGAGTTTGTACGCCATTCTTACGATGTCCGATGTTTTAGGTCTATTCTGTCCGATGTTTTAGGTCTATTATGTGTAGTATCTAAGTAAGAAGTGGATTCCATGTCATTCCGAAGTATTTGAGTGTGCTTGTGATTTTAATTCTGTGTCCCTTCATTTCTAATCTGGGTTTACTTGTGAGTTTGGTGCCTTTTTTCAGGGATTATAAGTGCTGTGGATTTTCTTTCAAATATTCGAAGCTTGATCTGGTAGCAGTGATCATAAAAATGCTCACTTGTTTCGTTATAGTGTAATTTAACTTCGTCTCTTGTCCTTCCTTTTATTATGAAAGTCGTATAATCAGCGTAAGCAATAACCGAGGTATGACTGAGCCATACTGCATTAATGATGTTATTAAAAGTCAGATTCCACAAGATAGGCTTAGCATATGAAACATGGGGCAACCTCTATTTTGCATCCTACTGATGGGGCCAGTATCATGCATTATAAAGTGCAGTGTGTTGCTCAGGCAGTTTTTGAAAATGAAATAGATGTTGCTGGTGCATTTTGTGTCTTGCACGGCAAGCAGAATCGCAAGCTACCAAGGGATATCGAATGCGCTTAGGAGATCGAAGCTTAGAAGTACTGCATAATTACCGTAAAGCTTGTTGGTCAAAATACTGCCATTTAGGCTGAGGCGTAGTTAGGGTTTTCAGCGCCCGGGAACAACTGAAGATTTTGCGCCCCTAACATTTCATTCTAAAATTTCACCCCCTCGTTGCTGCACTCGGGGCGAATTAATTAATTATGTCTCCCCTTGCTCCACGTTAGTTACGTTACTGCATTTAGGTACACGAAGGCACGGGCTGATGGTTTTCCGGCTCGAAAGCCACACTCTCTATTATTCAAGTACTGAGACTTGTGTAGTTGGAGAAGTAATGTATTAATAATTGATACTTTTTTACACTTTTCCTAGCGCAGATAAAAGGCAGATAGAATGGTATGAGTCGGGACTTTATATGGATCTTTACTGCGAATGAGAAAAAGAACAACTTGGCCTGTTTTGAAAATATTGGGGAGACTCTATAATGCAGCAGCTTGCTGAAAAACTTCAGAAAGTATTGTATTCTGCTGCGGTAATGCTTATTAATTATGGCGTTGTTGATCCCACTTGGGACTGGAGCTTTTTTCTCAGCAATTGTTGGAAGATATGATTAATTTCTTCTGGTTTGAAAGGCGGGTCATCAGGCGTTGTTGGTAGGGTGTAAATACGCATGAAATATTGCAATGGCATGTCTAAGCTGGAAATGCTGCATCCAGTGTTATAGTGTGCGTGGTTCTGTCCTACTGTTTGTGGTCTGTGCAGGTTGCAAGTGGAAGCGACATGGTTGAAATGTTTTGTTAATCGCTATTTTGTGCAATATATTATGTGCTTCTCAAAGCTAGTGCCGCCGGAGACCACCGCAGC